TTATATATAAGCGATGCCGTGGGTTGTATGTAGGTCAATAACATATAGAAAAGTGGTGCAGGAGGTCTAAAATGATAAACGTTAAAAACTGCATAAAAGGTTTAAAACTAACCTGAAGAATTTATAGAAAAAAATCAACACTTGTGATAGTATTCCTCTTTTCAGAAAATTCTTTTGTAAATGCAATTTCTTGGCCCTTATAAAAAGCTGAAAAATTCCATTTCGGAGAAAAGTATTTGATGTTTTGAAGATCTTCAAAATGTACAAGATAGATCTCAAATTACCACATGCAATATATCGAAGAATGATGAAATAAAAATTGTAAACAACACGTTATTAATTACATGCGTCCGAAGCGCTTTTCTGGATTCACCTTTATCAGGATCGATCAAAGCCGAATATTTGAAAACCGAGGATGTATAAGAACCGAAACAGTTGAAGAGCTATATAACCAAAAAGAACCTAAAAAAATAGCCATATTCATGCAAGGTCAAGTTTACCTGAGGAAGTTGAATCCTTAGTTTCTTTACGATTTTAAAATTTATAAACGGACAATTACAGAAAGGTTTGTTATTAAGATTGGTAATCAATCAGTTTTATATAAAGATTGGACAAAAGAAAAGGGTTTGGCTGATTAATGACTTGTTAGATGAATGTGGAAATTTCATGACTTTTCAAAACTTAAAAATGTATACAATATCAAAACTATAGTTTCCTTACATATCAAGGCTTAATTTATGAAATTTAAAATGTATTTAAAAGAATATAAAATATGTCCCAATGATTAAGTGAGAGAAAATGGTCCAGTTTTTCCTTCAGTTATAAAAATATTCTTTTAAATCCCCGAAAGGTTCAAAAGATATGTATAATATTTTGAATAGTTAAAACAAACAAAAATGGTTCTTAATTCTCAATACAAACTACAATTGGAAAAATATCCATGTATTGCCCTTTTATTTTAGCAAGAATTCAAAACATCAGAGGTCTCAGTACAGAATAATACATCGAATTTTAGGCGCGAATGAACTTCTCTTCAAATGAAAGTGAAGGATGCAAATAAGTGAGGTTTTTGGTGTGGAGGGGTCGAAACAATAGAACATATATTCTGGACTTGTCCGTATATATCAAAATTATGGGAAGACCATAACTCCTGGATATTTGAACAAATAGAAATAGAACTAACTTAAAAATTACTATAGATTTTTTTTTATTTGGTATTCTAACGAAAACCAATAAAAATGACATAAGAAACTTAATAATTCCTATATTTATAGAAGCAAATAATCATTTGAACAAACCAATATGATTGCGCTAAAAATTATTTAAAGGAAACTTAGTAATAGGAAAATATATATATTATGAAAAATAAAAGAATCGGTAGGGCGGAGAACTGCTGGAACTGCTGGACTCCTTTATTGTCATAATATCAAAGATAAACAACAGACACCATATGTTGTTTAAATTTAAAATATGTACTCTCTATCCAAGCAAACTGTGTCTTGCAATCATATTCTGCAATGTATCAAATTATTTTAGCTGTGTTTACTTAATATTACTTTCTTAAATTAATTAAAATGTGTCTAACTTACTATTATGTTCACATATGCTTCATGTGCAAATAAAAAGAAATTCATTATAAAAAAAATTATGCAACTTCTTGTCACAATACTATAGATGAGTGTTCTTCTATTTAAGGAATGACTGTAATATTTTTTCTGTCCTTGAAGAAATAACATAAAAAATGTGGTGCACACTGAATAACCCGCGTAGCGTGTTATTTAAAAATGTGCACCACATTTTTTAACTTATTTCGAATAGACAGAAAAAATATTACAGTCATTCCATATAATTTAATTCTAAATTCCATTTTTAAGGACTAAATTTTAAAAAAAAAACGTTGTTGACGTCACGGTCACATGACAAAATTATGTCTATGGGCTGATAGACAAAACACTTTCAGCCAATCAGAGGACGTGTTACATCCAAAAAATAAATTATAAATAAATGTTAAGGATATTGACAGTTTTCATAAACCATCTTCGATTCTGAAACAATATTTTTTGAACTGGTGCTTGTGTGACAAACTGATCCCTTGTTTAAAGAGACGATGAGGGGAAAAGGAAATGAATGAGAACTTCATTTCTTAGTTGGTTCTTTCTAAAAGATTTACTCAGCTTAAAAGAAATTTGAAATAGGAAGAGTGGACAGCGGTAAGGGAATATGGAAATGACGGGACGGGAAGCGGGAGAGAGAGAGAGGGGGAAGCGGGAGTCAGGGGGAGGGGAACCTAAAGAAGAGGAGTATAAATAGGTATATTTGGGAAATTTTTTTGAGCCGATTTTCGTCTAGGAGTAAGGGGAGGGAATAGATGCAGTCTTCCCTTCGAAAATTCATTGCAGATCCCAATTTTCTTTCATAAAAAAGACCTTGTATTTTTGCAAAACGCTTTTTCCTTCCCTGTCCCCTTAAAATAATGTTACGTCGGTATTGCATGGGTTTATTCTATACTTTTAATGTTATAAGTACATTTTATGGTGTATATATATCTTATTAGCATAAACCCATCTGTTATAATATCCGGAGCAAGTGTCCTTAAAAGTTAAATTGTATTGAAAACAAATTAGAATATGTTAGACGGCGCATTGCTATTTCACATAAAGAATAAGAAGATGTGGTATGATTGCCAATGAGACAACTCTCCACCAGAGACCAAATGACATAGAAGTAATAAACAACTATAGGTCACTGGACGGCCTTGAACAAGGAGCAAAACCCAAATCATGTCCACATGCGAAACACGCTGTAATTCTTATTAAATGTCAGATAAGATCTTACAGTTGGTCGAACTAATACAAATATGAAAATAATTTGACATCTGTTTCAAATCTATATAAAAAAAAAGGGAATGTAATTAATTTACCTTTTTACCTTGAATTATCATATGCGATCTGTTAAATTGATCAATTCGTATTTATCTATTACTGAATTATTGAGCCATCATATAATTAATAATGGACACATTGGGAGGATTCGAACTGCTTTAGTGTAGTTTCCTCAAGAAAAAAAAGTACAACATTCCAATAATCAAACCGCCATTTTGAATAAATTTACTTGAAAGTCCACAAAATGTTTTTGGTTCGTCTACAAGTTGTACGTCTCTCCTGAGACTACTTTAACACATAGTAGTCTCAGGTCTCTCATTATTGAAATTTACGCCGTTTTTCCAAGATAAGAAATAATTTTTCATCAGTTATTCTAACATTTATATGTCATTATAATAACTTCTACAGCCATTCACCATCCACGTGACGTTGGTAAACACATTGAAGTTGTGCACATTACATTTTCAAGCTTTGATTAACCTAGAGTTCTCCAATCCGGAAGTAACCCTCATTTTAAAGAGAGGTGTCAGTTTGGCTGTAGCGGATTCATATATACCCAACCTCGTTCCATCAGAACGAGGACGAGGACGTTATACATAACTGACGCCTCGTGTCGGCAGAACGCCACGCCTTCTACACGTTAAAAAACCCTTGCAACAACTCTCTGTAGGTAGCATGTTCAAAGCAAAATGTCTCTTTCAAATATATCATTACAATAACTATACAAATTAAGAAGATGTGGTCTGATTGCCAATGCGATATCTATCCAACACAGTCCAAATACCTTGTATTTAAGTAAGTATGTATGCCTTTGAGCAAAACCCGTACCGTAATGTCCGGACAAAAGAAAAATGAAACAATTCAAACAAAAGAACCAACGGCCTGAATAATGACAAAACAATAAACGAAAAAAAAGAAATAATAGACAGCAACTAACGACAACCACTGAATTACATGTTTGTGAGCGCTCAACCTCTCTCCCTAACCTAGAACAATGGTGTACACATAAGGATACACTGTAAAAACCACCTGTAAACTGGTTTGAATCACCAGATCTGCACGAAGCACACAAAAAAAAAACAACTAACATAAAGAAAAAAGACACAACGTACCGATCTAAAAACTAGATCAAAGCCAATACCAACTAATAAATAAATCATGTTTTCTCAGATCATTCTTTTTCCAGTTGCATTCTTAATTTCTCATCGTTCATCCCTGTTGTCAAACTTTGCAAGTTTTTAAAAATTCTAATTTGTTTTCTTCCTGAATGCGCATGAAATATTTGCGACCAACTTTAATCCCCCCCAAAAAAAAACAATCAACAACACTTCGTTAAATATGCTGCTTATCAATTTTAAAATCATAATTCTAGATCTCACTTCCTGTTATCTTGTCCAATATACCTCCAATTTAAGACATGAGCTTATTGAATGCTTTCCTTTCAATCCTTTCCGTCCAAACTGACACAACTATCTTGGGGTTTTTTTATGGCTCAACGGTACTCTCCGACAAGCAAAATAGCCTTCTATTTAGTTTGGTACAGACATACATTATCAAAAGCAAACGTTTAATCATTATTGTTAACTTGATGCTCCATCATCCAAAAGAACCTGAGCAGTAACTGTTCATATTTATTCATTATTTTCCTCGGAGTTCATTTTTTTGTGATTTTACTTTTTTTTTTTTCCTTTTTCTTCTATTTTTAAAATTTTTTGAGAAACAGTAGACCATTCAACTACATTTATTAACGTTCTTTCCATTTAAAAATGATAAAATGATAAAAGATGGAAGAACGACAGCCAAATTACGGAAGCCGGTACGTGTCATGAAGAATTGTTTTTTTTTTTTATTATATATATCTTTATTTAGCCTCCGTTAGGAGAGATAGTGAAACAAATAAAATATAAATAAATAACACAATATATATAAAGTTTGAACAGATGAAAAAAATATTTAAAACGTTATAACGAGAAAGCTAAGTCGTTATAACGAGTTAGCTTAGTCGTTATAACGAGTTAAAACTATCAAAAAAAAACAATTCCCCATAACCTTTGTAAACAATCTACAATATAATGCTAGAAGCTGAAAAATCATAACTCATGATGGTTTTTATTTCAGTGTGTGATAGCAGATAAGATCGATGAGTCATTACACCATACCAACAGATGTGAAGACCCCGAAAATATGTTAGACACACCAGACAGCAGCAATGAAAAAGAACGAGCAGTATGATATACAAATATGTATTAGGCAACGACCATTCAACTTTTGTGGGGGTTGTGTATTTTTTTTTTTTTTTTTTTTTTTAATAAATTCTTTGGTTTAATTATTCTTTTGGGAAAATAAGTCTTTGTTTGGGTTTTATGGGTTTGTTTGTGTGTATTTTTGTGTGCGTGTTTATTCGGAGAGGGGTGTACTAGACTTGCTTTTGAATCCCTTACAGAAATGTCTGATTACTCTGTGAGCAGATAAGTGTCGATCTTTCTTCTCTTTTTAAACAAGCCGCACATTGTTGTAGTAAAATTCGAATAAATCAAATATTTAAGAAATTGTTCCATGCAGATTATTTTTTTTTAGAAGGATGCAAGAATGTGTTTGCATATAAATATACAATATACGTTGATTGTCGGAAAATATAAAAAAAGAAATATTTGTACTAGACTAAAAAACAAGTTTAAAAAAAACGCTATCTAATTATTGTGAAAGAAATAGTGTTACTTCCAAAAACAATAAACTAAGCGAAATCTATTCTCGAATAGCACGCAACCTTCGTGATTTCATTGAAAATGTAAGAGTTCGAAATAAAATCCTAAAATATCAAAAATTATTAACACAAAAAAATAATTAAATAATTCTTGTAATTCCTTATCACTATCAAGAAATCTATTGGGTATGGTGTTTCCTTGCATGATATTTGTAAATAAAAACAAGTTTCTCCAAGTTTGTTGAATTTTCAACATTTTGGTGAGATTTTCTACAATTTTTCATTTTTATAAAATCGTTATTTTAAAAGATACGTGGTTCAAACCTTTAATATAAAAATAAGAAGATGTGGTATGATTTTAATGAAACAACTCTCAACAAGAGACGCAATGGCATAGACGTTTTAAACAATTATAGGTCACCGTATGGCCTTTAACAATGAGCAAAACTCATACCGCATAGTAAGGCCCTGAAAACTATTTGGAACATTCTAAAAATGAGAAATTAATTAAAACAGAAAGAATACAAATACAAATACAGTCTTTTATTGTCAAGTATGACGCCCAATATTGAGCAGAACAATTAAGTTAAATTTCATACAAGTGATTATATATAATTGATTACATTGATTATTATAACAATTAAACAAAATCAAATCTTTTCGTACAGAACAATGTCTGCAGATATGATATAAAGTTGTTATATAATAAAGATGGAAAAAACTGTATCCATATCTTACAGAGAATTAAATTTCTCTCTTTATATAAAGAACACAACAATAAACTTATTTTTTTAATGATAACATTATCTACCATATTAATTTTGATTTATTTGGGAGGCTTTCAAAGTTTTTGTTTATCTTATTTAAGTAATTTATAAAATCGGATCTTTTTATTTTCTAAAACAGGACACTGAAGAAGAAAATGAATTTCATCTTCAACTTCAGTGTTGCATAATTTACATATGCTATCATCCACTGGAATCCTTGCATATCTGCCTCTTTCTATTTCCAAATTATGTGCACTGACTCTGAACTTAGTGAGAAGTCGCCTTTCATCCTCATTTAAAATTAATAAGTATTTTTCCATACAAATATTTTCTTTAAATAATCTGTAAGTTCTTAATTTATTTCCATGCTGTTTATTATGTCTATCATTGAAAAGATTTCCAAATACAAGAATATTCCTGTTTTAATTTCTGGTAAATTAGTGATTTTAAATCCATCTTTGAATTTTTAACAATTTTTATATCTATATCAAGATATTTCATTAGACTATCAATACAACTATACCAACTATTTTTGTTTAAGCTATTTAGTGAACTAGAGACAGTCAGAGCTTCAGAGAGAAGGATATCATCAGATTTTAACAGATATTTATAATATCTAAACATATTCAAAATTACGTCAAGAAATATAGGATATCTTCCCATTTCACCCAATACAGCTATATTTGTAGATTTCTTGCCCAATCCCATAGAAAATTTACAGAATTTGAAATGAATACTTTCTTGTTTCATGTCCTTATATAAAAAAGATGTGGTATGATTGCCAATGAGACAACTCTTCACAAGAGACCAAATGACACAGAAATTAACAACTATAGGTCACCGTGTCTTGCATAGTTTAAATAGATTATGTTCATTTTTGTTTAGTTTATTTATCACTGAAGCTCCTCATATTTCACACCCATATAGCAACACGTACAGGTTTCACATATATGTCAAATATATGTGAAAGTGTGTTTATTTTAGGTTTATATAAGTTAAAAGAAAACTATTTTTATATTTAAAATAAAATGAAGCTTTCAATCCCCTTTTATATAAATCTTCTCTAGCCTCTGTAAAGCTTCCACTTGCACTTAATGTGGTACATAACACTACAGGGAGATAACTCTGTGAAAATCATCTGAACGTTTGAATCACATTCTATTGTTAAGGAAATATTAAGCTTATCAATGATCAAAATTAGTGTTTGTCAAACAGCTATATATACAATGAAATTTTTCCGATAAAGTGTGTGGTTCAAGTTTTTTGAATTTTTTATATTTTTGTCAAAGGGTCAAAGTAAATATTTTGTCAAAATTTTATGAAAATTAAACGAGCCAAATTAATTTTAGTGAAGGTGTTTGGTACCACCTAAAATAAATTCCTAAATATTTATAGCCCTTTCAATGGGTACATTATTAACATTAAATATTTATAACCCCTAGCCCTTTCAATGGGTACATTATTAACATTAAATATTTATAACCCCTAGCCCTTTCATTGGGTACATTATTAACATTAAACATTTATTATCCCTAGCCCTTTCAATGGGTACATTATTAACATTAAATATGTATAACCCTAGCCCTTTCAATGGGTACATTATTAACATTAAATATTTATAACCCCTAGCCCTTTCAATGGGTACATTATTAACATTAAATATTTATAACCCCTAGCCCTTTCGATGGGTACATTATAAACATTAAATATTTATAACCCCTAGCCCTTTCGATGGGTACATTATTAACATTAAACATTTATAACCCCTAGCCCTTTCAATGGGTACATTATTAACACTAAATATTTATAACCCCTAGCCCTTTCAATGGGTACATTATTAACATTAAATATTTTATCATACAGTCCTCCTGTTTTATTACAGCCGATTGCATTGAGTGTGTAGGTAAGGGTAATATCTTTGGTTAGCTTGCTTGCTAGCTGAACCGTGAAGTCATTATTAGGTAAGGTATACTACCCTCCTTTCGAAGTAGCCTAGTCCTACAGACAGATAGATTGGTTATCTGTCGGACTAGTCTACTCTTAAAGGAGGGTAGTTTACCTAACCTAATAATGACTTCATGGTTCAGCTAGCAAGCAAGCTAGTCAAAGATATTACCTTTACCTACACACTCAATGCAATCGGCTGTAAATACTACTGATTTAGTTTTCTTTATATTTATTTGGAGCCCCCATTTATCACAGTAGTTATATAGTTTATCAATACACTTCTGTAAACCTTCAGCTGTGTCTGACATCAATACTAAGTCATCTGCATACAATAAGCAATTTAGCTGTAAGGAATTTAAAATAGCAGGTCAAGAATATCATTAATAAAAAAATTTAATAAAGTGGGAGAGTCGTTTGTTTTTACAATAGATAAAAGAGGGTCTGGATGGGGTTTACAGAATAGAGAATAAAAAGGGTAAATAGGGAAGTATAAAGGCCAAAAAATATAAAGAATAGAGAAAAATCGGTCCAAAAATTAAAGAAAGGAGAATAATGTCCCAGAGCGCTAAAATAGAAAGAACAGAGAATAATGGGCAAAAATATAAAAAATATAAAAAAATAACCTAAATAGTTAAAGAATACAGATTTGAAAGACCCCCCCCCCCCCCCCCCCCCCCCCCCCCCCCCCCGGGTCCAGACCCTCATGAAACGGCCATTAAATGGAGATGTTAAATCTCTGGTATCAGATTTATCTATACTGATTACATTGTTGTCTTAAAGCAACACGCGCTTTGTGTGTTGACAGAAAGGCTAATTTTTAATCAATTGGTGAGAAATACATCTGTATTTAGATTTTATATGAATAATATACTCATCTTCTGATATATATTTTACACAAATAGTATATTCAACTTAAATTTTGATTATATTCTATATGAATAGTATACTCTTCTTCTGGTAATAAAGTAAAATAACAAAAATACGCAACTCCAAGGGAAATTCAAAACGGAAAGTCCTTTTTAAAATGGTAAAATCAAAAGCTTAAACACATCAAACGAATGGAAAACAACTGTCGTATTACTGACTTGGTACAGGCATTTCCCAGTGTAGAAAATGGTGGATTAAACCTTGTTTTATAGCTAGCTAAACCTCTCACTTGTATGACAGTCGCATAGAATTCCATTATATTGACAACAATGCGTGAGCAAAACACACAGACATAATAGGTAAAAATGTCAAAAATTAGGGTACAGCAGTCAACATTGTAATGTAATCTTAATCACAATAAAAACAAATAACTATTTCAACAAGGAAAAACAAAACGGCATATAGACACTTTTTAGACAAAATACTCACCTTCTTATGAGTCTCAGAAGTCAACTGTTTGGCTGGGAATTGATTGCATTTTAAAGATATTACTTAAATTTATTTGTATATATGTACTGTATCAATCAATGTGTGACACTCAAATAAAATAGATTTATTATCTTATGTTCAATCAATTGGTTAGTCTTCCAAATGTAAACAATTGTGAAAAACTTAAAAGACAGTCATTAAATTTATTTCAACATACCTTATTATTATTTTGAAGAAAAAACAACATTTCTTGTATAGTTTTTCATCGAGAAGTCACCAATGCAGTTTAAAAAAAAAAATTATAACTAAATAAGATCTCACACCCAAACTTATCTATGCAGGTATGCAAATGTCCTGGTGTTACTATATGTCATGAAACTGGTGGACCGGGGGATACAAAAATGTACTACTGCAAGAAAGATATACCTAAAGCTACTGGGACTAGTGGTCTAAATTTGGATGAGCCAAAAAACAAAACGACGACATACGATTGAATACAGGAACTGTAGTTTTATTTCAATATTGGGTTTTTTAGTGTTAAAGGTGCATCTTTATCTATATCACTGTATGGGACTAATATATTAAATATAAATTTTTCAATATCAGATAGGACACAAAATTCTGTTTGAAGAAGATGTTTATGTCTCTCTCTCTCTCTCTCTCTCTCTCTCTCTCTCTCTCTCTCAAATTTAATGTAGTTATTGAATTCCAATTTCCATTCACAGAAGTGCATCCTAACTTATGTGCATTGTAAAAATATCTCTCTCTCAAATTTAAATTAGTTATTGAATTCCAATTTTCATTAGCAGACGTGCATCATAACGTATACTTTGAATTTGTTAAATGCATACTAGTATGTCTTTGTTTAAATTTTGAACTTTTATTGAAATATTGATATCAATATGTAATTTAATTAGATATATTATGACACTGTCGACATCAAGAAAAATAAACTGAATTGAATAATTTATGTAACAGGTGTTCCTAGAATAAGCCCTCTCTCTCTCTCTCTCTCTCTCTCTCTCTCTCTCTCTCTCTCTCTCTCTGCAATACCGGTGTAATTAAAGTACATTTTAAACTAACGAATCTTTTTAGTTTATTTTTTTTTCACCCTATATAGCTAGAACTGTTGAAAACAACAAGATGTGTAGTAAATTAAACATCAATGAGACAGAAACCAAACGACACAATAAACCCAAAAGACATTTAGAGGTCAACCAATTGTCTTCAACAATTATTAGCAAGTCTGTACAATGTGCGAAGCACTGTATCTAGACAGAAGCAAATTGAAATTAAAAATATCTTGACAAAGATCTACCATAACAACAGATTCCCTCCAGTGCAAACACATTCAGGTATAACTGAAGACAAACACCGAGGATATTCCGAACTTAGGACATATGGCGGACTTTTTTTGTGTATATTTTTGGCCCTCAACTCTTTTCGCTTTGAACTCTCTTTTCTTTCTATATTCCGTCGTTACTCCTCACGTCTATCCAGTGGTCGTGGCTTTTTTTTGGTATTAACTGCTATAGCTCTTTTCGAGTTATATGTTACATCAGATCCCAAAATCACAATTATGCCTTCAACAATAAGCAAAATGTCAAACTTTATTGAAAAATCAACGGTTCGTAACACCGGTGTGTGGGGATTTATCAGATAGAACCGATTACAACACACTTGTGTAGTGAAGTGCGACATAGATGCGAGACAATAGTAACAAATCACATCCATTACGGTCAAGGAAATCTATCGTATGTGTGTTATTAAAATTTGCCTGAAAATTCCAATGCAAAACATTTAAACAATACAAACATTTAGACAACCACTGTGCAAATCAATAAATTGTTGGATAACTTGGCAGACAAATAATACGGACAGAACAATTTAAAAAGATAGAGAAAACATGAAGAAGCACACACACGAGAAGTATTTCTAGTTCAGGAAGAGAACAAACTAAACAAAGCATAAAAAATGGACACTACAAAGAGGTCACTGTCTGTAGGAAAACGATGGAATATTGGGGAAGAATTTACACACCCATTAAAGAGTTGTTGCAAAAGTTTTTAAACTTCCAAAAACGGAGAGGATCTCCCAACACGGGATATTCAATTCAAATGGATCCGGTCATGTTAGGTTTTAAACATCCCGTATACAGCCAACCGGACGCCACCTCCGAATGGGTCTTACTGCTTGAAAGGATAGACCTGGTAAAATTTTTTCACTACCCATATGACCCAATGGTTTCATTAAGCTATGGCAAAAGCTGATATGGACGTTGTATTATCAGTAGATATATATAGTTCGATGAATTAAAAGTATATTAAATCTGTTGTCACTTAGAATATTAAAATTAACATACCGACTTTTCAATTATTGTTGAAGACCGTATATTAACCACCAGGTTGCCTTTTGTTTTTTGTTTTATTGTGATGTTCGGGTTGTTGTCTTATTAGTCAAAATGATTTGCGGTTCAAATCCCGTCTTGGCAGGGAAGAAATTTTTTTCTGCGGACACCCGATGTCGCCTTTGAAATTTTCATCCCGCCTTATCAGTGGAGAAAAAACTTTTTTTTTTGCGGACACCCGCGGTTCGCCTGTAAAATTTTCTAACAAGAACATAAGAGACGATTCTATCTTTGTGGATCTTTATCGTCTTCGTTCATTCATTCATTCATTCGTTCATTCATTCATTCATTCATTCATTCATTCATTCATTGAATGTATGCTGATTTCTATATTATATTTAGTAAATTATTTAGTTATGTTACTGACTTAAATATTTCTAATTCTGATTAATTAATGGCGATTCCCTCCTTAATTACTAAATAATAAGGGGGAGGGGAGAAGCGAATCTGATCATTTTATCAAGATGTCTATGACATTTACACTAATCATCAAAGAAAATAACCTGAACAAGAAAATGTACCTGTCAATTCCACTACTTATAACTTGTAATAATACTTTCATATGAACGAGGAATGTCCTATAAATATGTATTGACTTGTGTAAATTTATACAAAATGCAAACGATTTAATTCGTATTATATATTATCAATAGTATTTATTACACAATCATTTTGTTGTTTGCTATTTTGTTTCCATAATCACGATGTTGAAGTGAACATGCCCCCTTGTGAAACAGCGATTCTGAAACTGTCTATCTTCCGGCTATAGGCTATGCATTAACCAGTTAACATATGTGAAATTGATTTATACGATGGTCAATGATACGACGTGTATTGACCTTTCAACACAAATTAAATCCATTTCACAAGTGACCACTATAGGAGATTTACACACTTGAGTAAGTTTATATTGACCATACTTTTTGGTGTGAATATGGAGGAAATGGACAATTACAGAGAAGGTATTCAAGATTTGGACGATGATAAAAACAACTACAATTTATTGACAGGTAAATAAACTGAGTAATAGTAATAATATTTAATTCATTGAGGTGGAACATGTAGCCCAATCGATACATAATCATTTAGAGATAATCTCACGAATGATTTATTTTTGTTGGTTATTTCTACATTTTAAATCATACTACATGTAATACACTTATTTGAAATTTTGACCTCGGGCACTCTTTTTTACATGATGAACGAGCTGTCACATTTTTGTGTCATAGTTAGAACTGTTTGAACATTATAAACTTGCATATGGATTTTTGATAATCGTGTTATTTGTTTTACCTTTGTCCAAACCAGGGCTTTTTTTGTTAAACTTAACTAATGTAAAAATAAGGAGATGTGGTATGATTGCCAATGAGACAATTATCCACCAACGTTCAAATGAAGAGGATGTAGGCAATTATATGCAACCGTACGGCCTTCAACAATGAGAAAAACCCATACCGTATGGTCGGCTATAAAAGGCCCCGACATGAAAAATATGAAACAATTCAATTGAGAAAACTAACAGCCTAATTTATAACAAAACAGTTTACGAAAAACAAATATGACAGATATGAACCAACGACAACCACTGAACTACAGACTCCTGACTTGGTCTCTTTCGGATTTTTACTTGAGAGAGCTCATCAAAACCAGGATTTTCAGTAATAATTTCTGCAATAAATGACAAGACGAATCATTATTTTAATTCAGAACAAAAACATGTTTCGTCATCATAAAAGGATTTATAGTTCCAAAATATAAAAAAAAGAAAGGTGGTTTGGTTTATTTCAAACCAGAAGCAATACAGCTTAAAAGTACATGTATACTATAGCAGAACATTTTAAATACATTCGGAGGCAAGATCAAATTATTGTCATGATTTTTTTTTACCTGTGGCAAATTTTAAATATTTTCCTAAATTGGACAATTCATTTACATTGTTTGTTGACAATAACTGAACTAATTAAAAAAAACAGATGCATTTGTATAATAATACCTTTTAATATACAATTTTTCTCATATTGTCAAATTTTGGACATTTTAGAAAGTGTAAATGAAATTCATCCTCAATATCACCATGGTTACATAAAATGCATAATCTTTCATTTCTTGCTCTTTTAATGAATCTACCATATTCCATATTTAGCTTGCGTGAACAAAGTGTAAAGTAGTCTTAGTTAAAAATTTAATACATAGTGGAGATAAGTTTTTTGTCAATTAAAACTGTAATTGAAAATCATCCGCCAGATATTTATAAATAGTACATTTCGATGATGATTCGAAAAAAATATCTCTTTCCTGAAGAAAATGTTTAATAAGCCTTTGTTTGAATAAGTTAAAAAATACTTCTTCGCATACAACATTCTTGGCATACCAAACATGTCCAAAACCTACGCTATAAGTAACATACATTAACATTATTAACCCATGATGACTTATTTTCTGATTCACACTCATCATACGTGCACTTAGAATACAGTTTCTCGTTCGTAATAGACGAATCCAATATTTCATTATTCTTACTTTACGAGATATCAATAAAGGAAATCTTCCCAACTCAGAATAAACCATTGCAGTAGGAGTGGATTTTTTAACAGTCAAAATATTTTTTACAGAATTCTATATGAAGTTTTTCTATATCAAATGCATTATGAAATTAATCCCATATTTCACTTCCATATAATAAAACAGGTGAAATATAAACATCAAATAAAAACAATTTTGTTTGTACATTTAAACACATATGTTTTATTTTAGCATACAACATTGATAAACATTTTCTTCCTTTAGCAGCAGTATTTAACTGCGTTTGATTAAACTTTCCATTGTAATGCAACATAACCCCAAGATATAAGTAATGACCAGCAACTACAATAACGCCATTATACAACCATTTTTCATCGCTTCTGAAAACAACCACCTTCGTTTTACTTGTGTTTACAATAAGATTCCACTTTTTATAATAATTATTTAGTGAATTCAACATATTTTTCAACCCATCAATAGTCTCATAAAATGTAGCAGTGTCATCTGCATACATCAATATAAATAATGAAAGTTCTTTTATATCTACTGGCAGACATAAGCTACATGTATTAATAAACTCATTTTCAAAATCGTTGAAAAACAATGAAAATAGTATGGATGATAATGGTTCCCCTTGTAATACTCCTTTTCTACAGAGAAAAATGTTAGAAAATTCTGCATTAAACTTTACACAGCTCACAGAATTATCATATAAAGATTTTATGATTGAAAATAGTTGACCACTAATACCACATTTTGCAAGGTTAAAATATATAAAATTTATAAATGGTATAAATGCAAATGAGACAAATACCCACAAGTGACCAAATGATGCTACAGTAGATGTAAGCAACTATATAGGTCATCGAAGGGCCTTAAACGATAAACATATCCGTACCGTACAGTAAAAAAAAACTATAAAAGGCCACGACAGGACAACTGTAAATCAATTTATTCGAAAGAAACAACGGCTTGACTGATGTAAAAAACAATACAAAATCAGATTTTATGTCGTTAATTTAGTTTTACGTTAATCGTAGCGGTTGTTGATGAATATGTTTTGAGATAATTTCGTGAATTGTGACCTTATATATCGGAATGATGATGCATTTTCATCGCTTCCAAACATTTACTTATTAAAAAGAGGCAAAA